TCTATGTGCATAAAAAGTACCTATGCCTTATGTACATATTTTTGCACACCATTTTCTTGTTCCTAATTTGCGTAATGAGGGCAGTGAATTGTATGTTCTAGTTGGTCAAAATAGTTAGTTCTTGAGTTAATAAGCTTATATGTGGACACCTATATTATTGCAAAGGATTTATAGGCATGAATTTGAAATCTTCAAGTTTCAGGTTTTACTGGAAACCAGGCTAGAATCTCCTCTTGGACATAAACATCAAAAATACCCGGCCCTTCGTTCCCAAGCCCAGACTTTAAGTGCACTTTGTTGGTGTGAGAAAGTTTTAAGTGAACTTTGTTGGTGTATGCATGTTGCTCTCCAACCTCTCACAGTTCCTTTTGAAATTATTTATACAAAATTATTCAAATTTAGCCCTATTAACATAACTTTACAAATAGGAGCTGGGGTTGTGGCTCAGTGGTAGAGCACTTGCTTAGGATGTGTGAGGCACTGGGTTCGATTCTCAGCACTACATATAAGTAAATGAATAAAATAAAGGTCCATCAATATCTAGAATTTTTTAAATAAAATATATTCCTTACAGAAAATTCATTTCTCTTTTTCTGTATCAAAGGAAAAGACCTTCTGAGAACAAATTGTGTGACAATTTATAGAAGGTCATCCCCCCAAAAGCCTTGAGAAAAAGAAATATTCTCTAAGTGCAAAATAGTACCTCTTCCCCCACCTTTATGTCTTTTAAAAGGCTAAGTTTTTCTTATCAAGGCCCTAAACAACTTAGGGAGACCCTATCAAAAAAAAAAAATTAAATACAAAGGGCTGAGGATGTGGCTTGGTGGTTAAGTGGGTTCAATTCCTGGTATTCCAAAAAAAAAAAAGTTTCTTTTCCTCCCACTTGTCAGCAAATAACAATTCATACCCCTCCCCCAAAGCTCCCTGGCTCAGCAAAGAACAACACTGTAAAAGTGTGTTGTATGTAGTGTGTTGAACGGGAAGGTTTACAGGCTCTCCCACTGCCGCAGCGACCAGGGAGGCAGAGATAAGAATCTTCATCTTCAGACAGCCCCAGTGCTATGCAGGACTGAGAAGTCGGCCCTGTAATATATTCAAGAAGACCTAAGGGTTTACTTTCCAATAAGGAGGGGAAAAAAATCTGAGCACCCCACTGTGAGCTTATCCTAATGCTGCTTCATATAAAAAGTGGGTAATTAGTCCCTGAGTGAATAAAGTAGAATAGATGATAAGAGATTGATACTTAGAGGGGAAGCACAAAATGCTCTTGCCAGTCATCAAATTTTAAAGGCTATAGAGAAAGGGTTGGGGATGCTTCTGTCTGTTTACATACAATCTCCAGCTCAGAATTTGTAATGATAGTTCATTAACCAGTGTTTTTAAATTGTATTAAAATGAAGCTTATATAAATTTCAAAGGCGCACTTAGGGTGCCAGACACAGGAGATTTTGAGACCCAGCACCAAAATGCCACAGCACTGGTTGGAATTTGGGTCTGATGTCCATCCCTGTACCTCCAGCTGGGGGTCTGTTGCCAAAACCTAGAGGTGGTGCAGTGCTATTTGATCTGGGAACCAAATCCCCAATACATTTATTTTTGACAACTCCAGAACATGCATTCATGTTTTCCAGATTTTGTTTTCTCACATAATTTAACATGAATTTATCTGTGAATGTGTGGTATTGTAGAATAACACTTATAGAAGAGTTAAAACTTCCAAAATACACCAAGTAACGGTACTTAGAGATAAATCTTGATTTGGAGGAAGGACATCTCAGGGAAAATGGTTAAGATGTTAAATTTCTATTTAAATAGATTAAATTTTCCTGAAAGGACATCATTTTGCATAAAACTAATTCCATGAGCATTGTAGAAACACATTCAAGTTTCCTGAAAAATAAAAATATAAAAAAATATAAATATTTTTATATAAAAATAAATGTGAACCACCCATCCAAATTTTTGAAATCAGCTTCTAACTAGAAAAAGGAGATTGACAGCCAAGATAAGGTAACAGGCCATTTTCACAAATGTGACTATATCATTCTTGAACAAGTGAACCCAAAATATCAACAGTAATTGGTGTATTTTCTGAAGATGCCTTGACTGATGCAGCGTCCTCACCCCAAAGAACTTAGTGGACAGTTCAAAATAGACAGACCGTCTCAGGGGCAGACAGGAGAGAAATGTTCCAGCAACTTCTATGAGTAAAGGAGACTAAATCAATTGAAATTGCTCTACATCCCTTTCCCTATTCCCTTTCTTACCTTATAGCTTATATGTTAGGATCCTTACCACCTGTATAGACACAGATACAAAATAGATATTCAGCAAGTATCTTTTGGTGCAATTAGCAGATTAAGCTTTGTTATATTTAGTGATGAATTCATTAAAGAAACTTAATCAGATAATTAATTCAATCATGTGAATTCAACTCTGTTGATCTTTAGAGAAAAATTAGATATTTGAGCCAGTCACTATGGCTTCTGCCTATAATCCCAGCAACTTGGGAGGCTAGGGCAGGAGGATCGCAAGTTCAAGGACAGCCTCAGCAATTTAGCAAGACCTTGTCTCAAAATTAAAAATAAAGTCCTGGCAATGTAACTCAGTGGTGTAGCATCCCTGGGTTTCATTCTCAGTTTAAAGAAACCAAAGCTTGATAAATCTGTATATTTTTCTGCCAGAAGGAAAATTTCATGTATTTTTACAATCTTGGGGGAAAGGTGTAATTTGAACATATTCATAAAGCTAATTGAAAGACTTTAAATGATCATTCTATAAGAATGTGTGAATAAACTAGAATTGATGATCTGCCCTTTGTTTTCTGCTCATGGGGAATGGGTTCCCCACCCTTCAGGGTGACGTAATTTATCACAAAGTGTTAAACATCGTTCTCAAAGGATACATTTATCAAAAAAAGAAAGTTTCAAAAACAAATTTCTAAAAAGGCTATTATTCGTTTATCTTACACTTTACACTGTTCACATTCCTACACCCTCCCTGTTAATCTCTATGACTGTTGCTAGCTTTACTTGTGAGAGTTGTCTTTCACTATACTGTAAAATAATATTCCGTTTCAAATGTTTTGTAGTTATGTTTAAATCACTATAACACACACCCATGTAGATTTTTCTGTGGTACAGAGGTACAACATATGAAGGTATTTTTGATTGTTTACGTTTTATAATTTTGAACTAAGTATACCTCTAAGTGCCTAGCCAGGTTTATAAATAGTTTAAGTAATTTAAAGTCATTTTTAAAAATATTTCCTGTAAGGTAAGTTTAAAATGCTTTATTAACTGTGAAGTGCCACATATATAAAATATCAAATGGAAAACAACTGAGCTGCCAAGTCTGATGTGACAAGAAGATGCAGAGTTCCTGGTAGTGTGGTGTGTGTCTGTTTGCACAACTTATTAATGATCAAATTTTTTTGCATCTCACTTTGAAATAGATGTGGTACTCAGTTCTCACACTCTGTATCTATTTCAGCACTGATTCCTCACTGTTTCAAATTTGGGTCAGAGAACTGGGGATAGAAAGGAGCATGTTTAGTGCACGGTTACAACCCAAACATAAACACCAAAATCGTCTTGAACACATTTCAACAGTACACGTGGGCTGGGCTTGTAGCTCAGTGGTAGAGCACTTGCCTAGCATGTGTGAAGAACTGGGTTCAATCCTCAGCACCACATAAGAATAACCATAAAGAAAAATAAAGGTATGTGTCCATCTCCATCTAAAAATAAAACAGTAAGCGTAAGGCAGACTTGATGTATATACATTCAGAACTCGCAAACTGTAGATCGTGCTCAAAATATTGGATATGCGTTACTAAGGTAACCATTAACTTGGTTTAGTGAGTTTAACCTTTTACTCATACCATTTTGTTGTTTTCTTCAAAATTCTTCTTATTTATTTTTACCCAATTAAAAAGCATCTTTTTACTTTCCATGCAGGGGTGTATGTAAACACACACACATCTGTGTATTTTTTCCCCAGCGGCTTCTATATACACATTGTAGTAAAGTTGTACAGTTAACATAAATAAACTCCAGGAGAGAAATTCCAACATTCCATTTTCCCTGGCCCATTGTCTCTGTGTATGTCTGTACGTCAGTCTGTCTTTTCTGATTCTGTGGTGTTCTCTCTTATTCAGTATTTATAAGGACCTCTAGGGCAGATGTCTTACAACAACTGGATGCTCACCAGGAGTTAGGCAGAATGAATCGCCTATGTCCGGCTTCTCCAAAGAGGGACCCCAGGACCAAAAGGAAAAACAGAAAAGGACACAATCAGACTTTAAAAACCATGTTCAGGTTAAAGGGCACCAACCAGCCTAGCTTGAATTCTGCCTAAAGGACAAGACTTTCATTTGATAACGATCATTAGTCACTGAGATATATATTTTAGAGAGTTCCCAGTAGCGACTATTCCGTTGGCAGTCAGTGGAGTGTACAGATGGTTCATTAGCATAGGCTAGACAAGTCAAAGGCTTTCAGAATCATTTAGAAAATGTCAAACAGAAACAAGAACCCTGTCACTTTTTATTAGAATTAACTACATCATACCCTGGACACAGATTTCACCTTGGGTCAGAAAAATTAATACAGAATTATATGAATTGTGTAATATACTGGGTTAAGATAGGTCTTTCTCTAGGGACTCATTTGCTGGCAATATATTATGATCCCTCTACTTTAGGAATTCTCAAACCTTTCCTTTTGTAGGATATGAAAAGAGTTGACCTTGCTCAAAATCCATTGGTGTCTAATTGACTTGAGGTATATGCAGAATTTCAACAAGACCTTCTTCTAAAGCTCTTTTGTGATCATTTTTCCCAGGAAGCTTGGTGAGTCCAGCTCACTGAATATTCAGCAGAGTATAGAGTATGCTTTATGTCAGGGGGAAAATACATCCACTCATTGAACACACTGCTTTAGTAAACGGGGAGTTAGAATGCCATTGAAATGTTGTTTTCTTTGTTTTTTTAAATGCAGATGTCAAAAACCTTGAGAACTTCCAGCTGGTAGAAGGTGTTCAGGAACAGGTCAATGCCGCCCTGCTGGACTACACCGTGTGCAACTACCCCCAGCAAACAGAGAAGTTCGGGCAGCTACTTCTGCGACTACCCGAAATCCGGGCGATCAGCATGCAGGCTGAGGAATACCTCTACTACAAACACCTGAATGGGGACGTGCCCTACAATAACCTTCTCATAGAAATGTTGCATGCAAAAAGAGCCTAAGTTATGACCCCTAAGAGTTCTGCTTCCAGAACACAAAGAGATTTGAGGGAAGGGGAAAGAACAGGAAGAGGAAAAAATACTCTGAACTGCTCCAAGCAACACTAATTAAAAAACTCGGTTAAAGATACTGAATTTTAAAAGGCATAATAATCAAATACTTAATAGCAAATAAATGATGTATCAGGGTATTTGTATTGCAAACTGTGAATCAAAGGCTTCATGTCCCCAAAGGATTCATGTGAAAGACATTGTTAACGGAATGGATTTGAACTCACAGATGGATTCCAACACTATGTCAGAATAAAAATGGACAGAACAATTCTTGTATATTTAAACTGATCTCCACTATGAAGAAATTTAGGAACTAATCTGTGTTATTAATTAGGCTTATACAGTGAGGGATTGAGCTTACAGAATTCCTCCCTGGTGAAGCTGAACTGAAACAATTCTCAAGAATGCATCAGCTGTACCTGCGACAGCCCCTCTCTCTTCCTTGGAAGGCCTCGCACCTTCTGCCCTGTGATCACCAAGTCTGTACAAAGGACCTATGCTCAGCCACGCCCATTAGTAGCTCCACTAAATCATGAATTCCAAATGTCTGTGTCTTAGACCTGCAAACCGCTAATAAGAACAGTCTATAAATATGTCAGCTTGCCATTTTAAATATGTTCTCAAGTTTGTTTTGTCACGTGTTCATGATTTTACAAAGAGCAGGCAGTATCCCTCTTCTATCTTATATAAGTATTCATGAATATTAAGGGAAATGACTACAAATTTTTTAAGCAAATGCTCCATAACTAAAGCAAGTTAGATCTTATTTCTGCTACTGTTGCTGAAATGTGGCTTTGGCATTGTTGGACTTCATAAGAATTTCTGGCTGAAAGGCTTTTTAGGCTACATTTGCCCTTTTTAATCATAAAGGTTTGTGGTTCATTTTTTAAAAAATACAGCATTAAAAATCTTTTGCTGGAATGTCAAATAGTCACAGTCCTAAGTAGTTGAACATAAAAATTGAAGCATGTCAAGCTATGAAAATGAAAAGGAAGGAGAAGCTGATAGATTGGTTGACACAAGGTTCATTCTAGTTGCCACTGAGCATCCTCTATCTTGAGATGGGAACGGTAATTTTTGAATACAGCCTGGAAAAATACTACAGTCATTTAAATCTTCCCCAAAGAGGAAAGGAAGAGAGTGATACTGACCTTTCTAAGTCATAGACCAAAGTCTGCTGTAGAACAAATATTGGAGGACAAAGAATTGCAAACAAACTCTCCAAACAATGCCGTCAGTATTATTAACACGCGATGCCACAGGTATGAAAGTCTTGCCTTATTGCGCGATTCTGAAAGGTAGCTGTGCAGATGTGGATCAACTTTAAAATAAAGTATTAATGCTTTTAAAGTCAGATAAAATATAGTGTTTACATTCTTTAGGTCCTGGGGGTGGGTTGGGCGGGGATCATGATATTACAGAATAACAGAAGCAGTAATTTCTTTAATGTTATTTTTCTGATTCGTAATTATTTTTAACAGGATTTAATTATTATATGTCGTGAGACACTAAAATCAAAAACGGGAATCTCATTTAGACTTTAATTTTTTTGAGATTATCGGCAGCACAATCACTTGTAGAAACTGTAAAAAAATAAAGTATCTCCTAGTCCCTTAATTTTTTTTTTTCATAAATGTTTCTGGCTTTTGAATAGTTTATTTATATTGTATATCATAGTTTCAACTGTAGACAATTATGATGCTAATTTATTGTTCTCAGTTTCACCTTTGTATAAGATATAGCCAAGACTGAAGAAACCAAATACATGTGTTTACTGTAGCATGTCTTCAAGTTAGTGGGACATAGTTCAGGGACATAGAAGGGTCTTAATGAATTAAAATCATCCACTTGATTAAATGTCTGTAAATCTTCCTAATTCTTACTGTAGTTTATTTAATATCTATTGTAAATTATGGGACCTGTAGCTTCCTCTGTTTTCAAGTAAATTTAACAAGGTAGAGTCTTACCCGGTTTTCCTTTCAAGCATTGTAAGTCGTATACCAAAGATATTAGTTATGACTTCAGCGTGTACAAAGAGAATTATTTTATTACTTTTATTAATCACCTTTAATGCCCGCCCACCCGAAGGGTGCAGGCTAGCAAAGCCCAGCCTCGACTTGTGCCGTGTCTGTCACCTATGTTATCTTCATGGCCCAAAGAGCAGTGAAGAATCGCTGGCCAGAGCTCACAGCCAAAGCACCCCAGAGCTCGGCAGCATCACTGCTACCCCCATTCAGAACCAAGTCAGAAGACACGTGGAGGGGCACAGTGGTGTGGACAGTCAGGAAGTGTTCCATCCCTTGTGTGTGTGTGTGTGACAAATAGGGCTGGGGATGTGGCTCAGTGGTCCATGCCCTTGAGTTCAATCCTCCATGCACCCCCCCCCAAAAAAAAAAAAAAGTCAAATACATTCACTCCTATCATCCATGTTTCTTCCTACTGAATAGTGACCCTAAAAAATGTCAAATTTTGGTATGTTGTTAACCGAGTGGATCACACCCTGGGAATGGTTAGAAAGAGACCATATGGAGTTACGTCCACACTGCTGGTGACATTGAGGACAGAAGCTGATAAACAAGAAAGCACCACAGCCGCTGGCTGTGGCCCATCCAAAGTTGGCAGATGCCATTTTTCTGATGTTCATTGTTAACCAGTTTGTAACCAGACATCCATTCAGCCAACTGCCTTATCTATTACAGGACTTATTAGTAAAAGCAGACTCAAATATAAAGGTTTTTGGCTTAGCTTGGTTTATTATAGCTGGTCTATGTTTGTAAACATGCAACCTGTAGCGTCCTGAATATTTGTGTTACAGATTTTCTGCGGCTGCCTTGGGCTCAAATCCATGCCATGTTTAGAGTGTGGAGTCGGTTACTTGTTGACGTTTTCTTACTGTATCAGTGAAATACATATTGTCATGTCAGTTCTTGCCAGGAATTTCTCAATAAAGTGGATTTTTTTTTCAGTATTTCAATAAATATTGATATGCCCAGCCTGATAACTTTTAAAAGTCTTTATGTTGTCCTTATTCTATTGGATACTAAAACTTCTGAGTAATTAACTACTTGATGGGATTGGAATCAATAGAATTTCACAAGAGGAATTACTTTCCTTCTCTAGGCATTTTTGATAGTCATCTGATGCCCTGCTTTGGATATCTGAAGCATTAAAGTAATCATAATCCACGCATCACAGTTCCACAGAGGAAATGAAGCATTTGTGTCACTTACTGTTAAAACTGATTGGTGGAAAAAAAATTTATTTATTTACTTATTTATTTTTTGTGATGCTGGGGATTGAACCCAATGCCTTGTGCATGTGAGGCAAGGACTCTGCCAACTGAGCTACACCCCCAGCCCCTAAAATCTTAATAGTATCTAACTTTTTCTAATAACTCCTGCACACTTTATTGATTCCTTGATCCTCAGAACAACTTCATGTAGTATCATCCTCATTTTATAATCTTGCATTATGAGATGCACTAGTCAGAGAAGGAGCAGGGATTTGATCTTTGGTTTATGCAGTGCTGGGGATCAAACACAGGGCCTCATGTGTGCTGGGCAAGTGCTCTACCACTGAGTCACACAGCAGCCCAGGAGCAGAGCTTCAAACCCAGGCACCTTGACCCCAGGATCAGCACCACGTAAACATCATGCTATTCTGTCTCCAAAACAGGATGATACGTAGGAAAAGATACTAGAGAAAATCAGGCATCCGGTTCAATGAAGTATACAAAAATATCAAGTACTCAGGAATAGAAAAGCTTTCATATTCTCCATAGTTGAACCATGGAAGGTAGGATACCCATGTTCTAGAAATCAGCCTCCTTCAAAACCATTGAGTCTTTGGAAATGTCTTTGTGTTTTCTTTTGTTTTGTTTTGAGACGGGGTCTTGCTAAGTTGCTGAGAGCCTACAACTTGCCATCCTCCTGCCTCAGCCTTCCAAGTTGCTGAGATTACTGGTGTGCACCACCACATGCAGCTTGGAGATGTTTAAAGCAACAAAATAACTAATGAATCCATTTGGGAAATAAATAAAACTTATAGTATAAAATAACAAAAGAGGGGCTGGGGCTAGGGCTCAGCAGTAGCACGCTTGCCTGGCATGTGTGAGGTATTGGGCTCGATTTTCAGCACCGCATATAAATAAATAAAGGTCTATCAACAACTAAAAGAAATACTAAAAAAAAATCAAGAGCCATCAAACAATAATGCTTATGAGTCCAGCCCTCCCCGATTAGCCCCCACCCTTCTCATCCTCTCTGGTGGCTACGATGCTCAGGAGGCACAAGTCCTTTGCCAAGGAAACCCTAATTTTTCTTAGGATCCTTCAAAAAGACACCAAGGAGTCAGACCCAACACACTGCACCTGGGGATTTTTAGTGCAAAACTGAGATTTTGAGGTAACAAAGAGTGACCTCCAAATTCATCTCCCTTGTCCACCTCTAGGAAGAACTTTTTCAAAATTATTCTTGCTGACATCCCATGAAATATGAAAATACATGTTCATATTTAATTGGACTATAAATTTTCATACAGAAAAGTATACACTTTGATACATTTTTACACACGTGTACATCCAGGTAATCAAAACACAATTGAAGCAAGATGAAAAACATGAACTTTAAAAAAAAAAAATTTTTAAGTAGTTGTATACATTTTTCTCCCAGCCCCCTCCTGGATGCTGGCAGGGGTCATTGTGATGAGAGCCGATGCAGCCCTCCTTCCCTCACTGAGAATAACATGCACCAAGTTGCTAAATCCATCAGCATGAGCAGCCTTTAAGGATAAGGGGGGGGGGGCTCTCGTGCTGATGTGCATTTGATTGTTATATTTGATATTCAAAATAACTTTGCGGAGGTTTATACCTTTAACTAAGTTTGACATTCGGTTTGAAGCCATCTCTGATGTATATTTTTATGAGAAACATGTGTAGTCTCTGTTCAACATAACGCAGGTCAGAATGCTGCAGTACTTAGTGATTTTGACATTTCCCTGGAATAATAAAGACCAATTTTCCTTAACGCTGAACAGGAAGTGTATAGTTTAGTCACTCAAAATAAATACTCTTGCAATACTTTAACTGTTTCATATAGGCATTTGTTTTATGTTAAGTTAGGAATTAATAATTCAGTGACTGATGTCAGGCTGTGATTGTGGTTTTGTTTGTAGAAAGGCTTTGCATGTTGCTAGGAGAGAGGGGAAGGGGAAAGGGGGGTGTAATTAGACTAATTGCTGAGTATCCCTGAAGTAAGTTTGAAACTAAACTATCAAGAAACGAGGAGGCTGCAGAGGGCTGGGCCTCCACGCCCCGCTCCAGCCAGCGCAGATCAGACCTCGGGCTGCACCAGGAGGTTTTGTGGATTCTAGGCCAGCCTGCCTGGGACACTGCCTCAGACCTGAGACTCTCCTTGGGACCTGTTAGTCACAAAGAGCCCAGGAGGGACGGGAGACCATGTGCAGACACCTCGTTGGTGTCTTAACTCTTCAACTTTATGGAGGTAGCATGCCCATCAGCCAACAGCAGTTCCCCATCCTTGGTGTCCTTGAGGATGGAGCTGCCTGGACCAGAGCCTTCCAGCTCTCTAGTAACAGGAATCGAAACCCCTCTGGAGTCCCCGCCACCACAGGCCTCTCCTGCTCAGGGCCATCTAGAGACGGCCTTTCCTTCCTACACCTCTCCCCCGTTCCACATGGTCTCAGTTTCCAAATCCCAAAGCTCCTTTTCTTATTCCTTTCAAACCAGTGCATGCCTTTCCTTCCTGTGGCTTTAGATCAGGTGCTTGGCCTTTCTAGCCTGAACTTTAGCAGCAGCCCGAAGGCTAGACCCCTTCTATCCCGTTCAACCCACTCCAAGCCTCACTCTAATCCTTTGACCCAGAGCAGTCTTCCCAGCTGAGAGCTGATATCATTCCTTCGCTGATCGTCCAAGGATGCTTACCATCTGTAGGAAAAAAGTCCGTGGAACCTTCCTGACACAGCCTCTACCTGCTTTCCCAGCCTCCCTCTCCAGCCTCCCCACACCACCTGCTGTTGTGCAGCAGTCACACCAAACAACTTGCTGCCCTGCGCCTTTTGGCCTCTCTCTTCCTACTCATGCTTTTCCCCCGTGGCTGGAAAACTTCAATCAAATTCAAAGAGACCTTCCTGATTGCCCTTCCTCATCCATCCAGTACATCCCCACCTCCTGGGTCTCAGATTTCTGATGTGGTTGTTTTGTTGTTGTTGTTGTTTATTTTTTTGAGACAGAGTCTCACTAAGTTGCTGAGGCTGGCCTCAAACTTGTGACCCTCCCGCCTCGGCCCCCTGACTAGCTAGAATTACAAGTGTGCACCACTGCACTGGGCTCTCTGATGCGACTGTGCTCTAGTCTCATCATGTCATTTCCCAGGATTGTCCCTCTACACGGTGAGCATAAGGGCAGGGACAATGACTCCGTGGTTTCTAAGCCACTGACTCTGTGCTGGCACACAGCGGGACCAGCACATGGTTTCCACAAAAAGTATTCAAGTTTCCTGAATGAGAGCGTAGAGTTTTCCATCACTCAACAAAATACATGAGATAGTCAACTTTCAAAGAAAAGGTTTATTTTGGCTCACACGCTTGGAGGTTCCAGTCTTTGATCAATTGGCTCCATTGCTTTGGGGCTTGTGATGAGGCAGAATCATGGCAGGAGCATGTAAAGAAGAAAACCACTCACCTCCTGGCCAGGAAACAAAAGAGAAAGGAGGAGGAGGCAGCCCCCAGTCTCCCCCAAGGGCGTGGACCAATGACCTAAGATCCTCGCACAAGGCCCCACCTCTAAAACTCCCATCATTGTGATAGTGCCACCAGACAGCCAAGCCTTCAAGACATGGGCCTTCTGGGCACATGCAAGATCCAAACAATAGCACCCCTTTTTCATCTCTTGACCTTGACAAGAGACATCTTAGTGGGCCAACCTTGGGATAATCCAGTGTCCATCCAATTTGCTTATCCACCCAAGTCCAGAAACAACTTACTTCATGTTCCTCAGGAGTGATCCACATGTAGGACTGCAAGTCAGTGCCCATCCTAAGCATGTTGTCAACCCAAAGAATAACCACTGAAAATGGCTTCGCTCTGTTGACACAAGGTGCTCGGCATTGCTGCTGACCATCTGAAGAAAGAGCTACAAATGGGATTCGAACTGTGCTTTGTGATCCCAGAAAGTCAAACCTATGGGAGGAAGACAGGTGGATACTGTCGAGGAAGAAATTTTAGCACAATGTGGAGAGGAAAAAAAAATGTCCAACCATCAAAGCCATCCCATGGAACCAACTCTATCAGAGGAAGTGACCTCCCAGTGACTGTTCCACCCAAGGCTGGCCTGGACAGCACTGTTGGGGACTCCTGCCTAGGAGGGCTGGGTCATCATTAACAATCCTCCAACACTGACAGTCCACAATTCGGACATAGGCAGCCAAACACACTGGCCTGAAACTTCAAGAAAGATCTCTCCCCTCACACATCTTCTTTCTGGAAGAAAACTACACCTGCACCTTTGAAATTTTCTAGAATCTTGAGATACCAAGAGGCAAGATCCAGCCAACTCCAGAGATTTAAATGTATATAAAAAAATGGATTTACAATGCTTGTATCAGTATTCATTTATGATACAGGAAGGAGAGAAATCACAACCTGTCAAACAAACCAATTCACCCCTACAATAGTTAATGTTCCGAAAAAGAAAACGTCTACTTTTTGAAAAGTTGAATTCAACATTCATAACCTGTTCTCGGTGGGTCAAGGGGTGTTGCACAGTGGAAGAGAACTTGCTTAGCATGCAGGAGGCCCTGGGTTCCAACCCCAAAACCACAAAGCAAACAAACAAAGACCACTTCTCCAGCATCTGCTGTTCAGCGGAAGATGGCTCATGGCGCTGGTTTCCCTACCTGGACCTCCTCAGTGAGGGTCAAGAATGCCCCGTGGTTGATGAGGTCATACAGGAAAGTTGCTGAGACCTTTCTCCCAGCCCCTACTCATAGTTCT